TTATTATAGGTTAATTTAGATTTTCTATATCTTATTAAATTAATTTTGGTAGTCTGTTTTTCTAGAAATTTGTCTATTTCCAGCACTTTGTTTTTTCATGTCGACTTGAAGTTTTCTCTAGTGTCATTGAATGAATGACAGCCTCAATGAATTCCCTTAGTATTTCTTATTTGTCATGACTGCTAGCAATATATTTTTTGTTTTTGTTTATCTGGGAATTTCTTTTTTCACCTTCATTATTGAGAGGTGGTTTTGTTGGATATAATTCTTGGTTGACACCACTGCCTCTGGCCCCACTATTTCTGACTAAAAGTCAGCTGTTGCCTTGGCTAGGTGGCTCTGTTGGTTGGAGGATTTTCCTGTAAACCAAAAGGTTGTGGGCCCAGCTGCTGTGGCTCAGTGGTTGAGCAACAACTCATGCACCAAGAGGTCACCAGTTCAATTCCTGGTCAGGGCACATGCCCACGTTGTGGGCCAAATCCCCAGTAAAGGGGCATTCAGGGAAATCAATTTTCTGTCTCATCAATATTTCTATCTCTCTCTCCTTGTTCTCTAAAATCAGTAAAGAAAAAAACATTTTTTTAAAGGTTGCAGGTTAAATTCTCAGTCAGGGAACATACACAGGTTGCAGGTTCGATCTCTGGTTGGGGCATGCTTGGGAGACAAGTGATCGATGTTTCTCTTTCTCTCTCTCTCTAAAAAAAATCAATAAAAACATATCCTTGGGTGAGGATTTTAAAAAGTCAACTGTTATTCCCTGTACAGAATGAGTCATTTTACTTTTGCTGCTTTCAACAATTTTTTTTTTTTTTTTTTTGTCTTTCAACAATTTTACTATAATCTGTGTGGGTGTGGATCTCTTTGCATTAATTGTACTTGGTCTGCACAGCAAAAGATACGATCATCAAAATGGAAAGGCAACGCACTGTATGGGAGAGAATAATTTCCAATGATATATCAGATAAGGGGTTAATTTCCAAAATGTATAGAGTACTCATACTACTCAACAAAAGGAAAACAAAGAATCCAATTAAAAAATGGGCAGAGGAGCTGAATAGACACCTCTCCAAACAGGACATACAAATGGCCAAGAGACATATGAAGAAATGCTCACCATCACTAATCATCAGAGAGATGCAAATTAAAACAACAATGAGAAATCATCTCACACCTGTCAGAATGGCCACTGTCAACAAATCATCAAACAACAAGTGTTGGCGAGGGTGTGGAGAAAAGGGGACTCTATATACTGCTGGTGGGAATGCAGACTGGTGCAGCCACTATGGAAAACACTATGGTGTTACCTCAAAAATTAAAAATTGAACTGCCATTTGACCCAGTGATCCCACTTCTAGGAATATACCATAAGAAGCCTGGAACACCAATCAGAAAGAATATATACACCCCCATTTTTATAGCAGCACTATTTAGAATAGCTAAGATCTGGAAACAGCCCAAGTGTCCATCAGTAGACGAATGGATAAAAAAGCTGTGGTACATATATGCAATGGAGTACTATGCAGCTGTAAGAAAGAAAGATCTCTTATCCTTTGAGACGACATGGAGTGAACTGGAAAGTATTATCCTAAGTGAAACAAGGCAAGCAGAGAAAGACAAATATCACGTGATCTCACTTATTTGTGGAATATAATGAACATAACAATCTGAGGAATTGGGTAGACCCAGAGACATGAGAGACGTGGAAGTAGGATACAGACTGACAACCCTCAGAAGAGGGGGTGGGGGGAGGGAACAGATAAACCACAGAACTTATATGCAGGTACATATAACTGATGGGCACGGACAACAAAGCCAGGTATGGGGTGGGGGGGGCTGGGGAGGCAGGTGTCAATGGGGAAAAAAAGGAGAAACATCTGTAACAAAAATAAATTAATTAAAAAAATGAAAAAAAAAATTTTTGGATGTATATGTTAATGTTCTTTTTATCAAATTTTGGACATTTCCAGCCATTATTCTTTTGAATATTTCCCTTTTTCAGTGTTCTGTGCTTCTGACACCTTTAATATGCACATCTCAGTGGACTTGACAGTGTCCCCATGTTTCTCAGAGGCTTTGTTCTTTTTTCCTGACTCTTATGTTTCCTCTGCTCTTCAGATTGCATAATGTCTATTGATCTGTACTCAAGTTCATGGGTTCTATATTCTGTCAGGTCAAACCTACAGTTGGACCCTCTAGACAACTTACCATTTCAATGTTTTTATTTTCAACTCCATAATTTTTATTTAGTTCTTTTTATAATTTATATCTCTTTGCTGATATTCTCTAGTTGGTGAGACATTGTTCTTATATTCTCCTTTAGTTCTTTAAACATAGTTTTCTTTTGTTCTGAAATCTTTGCTAATTTTAACATATGGGCCTCTTCAAAGGTACCTTCTATCACCTGTTTATTTTTCTGTGTATGAGTCACTCTTTCTTGTTTATCTTCATGTCTCAGAAATTTGTGTTGAAACTGGACATTTTAGATAATACATTGAATAAATTCTGAATGTTGATTCCCCTGGACCTTGTTCTGCTGTTGTTTACTTGCATATTTGTTTAATGACTTGGTTTGACTGTTTCTATAAGTTTCATTAGCTCTGCAATATGCAGTTGCTTTTATTGCTCCTCAGAGGTCACAGCCTTGGGTATATGGATAGTCATTCTGACCACACAAGCCACCTCCTCCCCCTGCCAAAGGACAGTGGAATTAGAGGGTCTTTCTCTGTCTCCTTCTCTGACCTTTTCATTAAGCTTCTGGCTGTTTTGTCTCTATTGGTATCACATCCAACTGTTAACTTTCACTAGCTGCTAGATGATTACTGTGCAGTTTTTGATAATGCCCTGGGGTATGACTTGTCTATACTATGAGCCAGTTAAATTCTGGACCCTTCACAAAATCAGAGTGCTGCTGTCTTTGAGGCTTGCTCAGACCCCAGGAGGGCTTTTAGTTGTCTTTTTCATGAATCTCTCTGTTACAGTTCTGCTTGGTTTACCGTTTTATTTATTGCTACTAGTATCATTGAGCTACTGGCCTCCTCTCTTATTCACTGCTAAGATTTATATTGTTTTTGACAATGCTTTTAGGCATGAATTTCCTCATGCTCTGTTCCAAATAAAGTCAGTTTCCTTAGGGAGAACAGTGGAGCTTTCTGTTCTGCTTCATCTACCCTACCCCCAAAGACTTCTGTGCCACTGTACTTGACTAGGGGTAGGGTGGCCCAATTCTCCCATAATAATACTTCTGGTCTACAAGTCAGTCACTGGGTAGGGATGGTAACCCTTAGTCTTCTTGGCTTTCCCCTTTTAGCATCTAACCTTCCCCTACAAGCAAGATAGGAAAGGGGATATTGGAGTCCAGTATTCTTGGTCTGCCATACCTGGAGTAGAACCTCCGCTCTGAGAATGGGGACTAGGTGGGCAAAGGGAGCCCCAGTCCTCTTGGCCACCCCTACCTGGAATGGACTTCCTGTAACACAGAGTTGGTAGGTCTGGAAGATGCCAGTGGCCTGCCTTTTCCAAGGTAAAAACTGGAGCCCTAGCCTGGAAGCTGACGGGAGAGGAAGCTCTGTCTTCTAGGCGGCAAGGCTTCCATCTCACTGAACTGGGGAAGGAACAGGAGAGGATTGTGGTTCAAAAGCCATATACTTTCATTGTTCTTACCAGGATGTAGTAGATTTTCTTGAATAAATGCTTCTCTGTTTATTGTATTGACTTTAGGACAATTTTCAGTTACTTTAAATGGTTATTTAAAAAAATAATTTTCACCAGTTAATTGGTTGTTTTACTGAGGAGAGAGTTCACCAATCTCCTTATAATTCTATTCTAGAACTTTTTATTTGCTGCCTGTTTTTGTAAACAAAGTTTTATTGGAACACAGTCATATCTATTCATGTACTTATTAGCTAGGCTACTTTCATGCTCCAATGTCAGAGTTGAGTAGCAGGAACAGAGATCACATAGTTTGCAAAGTCTAAAATAGTTACTCCCCGGCCCTTACAGAAAAAGTTTGCTAAGGAATGACTGAGCTATCTTTCTATTCCCTCTATCAAAAACAATACCACAAAATTATTGTCACATGAGGAGCAGATGTAAGGAAATGCAGTCAGAATTGCAGGAAAACCTGTGTCACTCAATTAATTTTTTTAAAAACAGATTTTAGAGATAGAGGAAGGGAGAGCGAAACATTGGTCAGCTGCCTCCTGCTAGAGATCGAGCCTGCAACCCAGGCATGCGCCCTGACTGGAAATCAAACAGATAACCTTTTGGTTCATGGGACAATGTTTAACCAACTGAGCCACACCAGCCAGGGCTCAGTCAATTAATTAAAAATAACAATTTGTCTCTGCTTTTAGTTATGGTACTGATCAGTTTTTAAATTTTTAATTTTTTGTGATGTATTTTTTATTCTAATTTAATATTTCATTTTATACCTTATTTGGTATTTTAATTTTGCAATTTTCTTCTTAAAATGGGCTCCTAAATTGTCTAAGTGGGGCAGTGTGATCATATTAAAGTTATGGAATTGTGTTCCCTGCTTGCCAGCATTCTTCTTACTATATACATGAATTTTTTACCACATCAGCATACCACCTAACCTACATTTCCAAATTATCTTTAAATTGGCTTTTTTTTTTTTAATTAAACAGTAGGTTTTATATGTCTCTAGAGTCCCTGGCTTGATGAGCACTTGAATTTTTTTGAGTGTTCCCTGTGTGGGCATGCTAAGTGGTTTCACCCGAGAGACATGGTGTGGGGCAGGCTCTGGCTGGGGGAACAGAAAAAGCTGGACAAGGTGCCAAAGATGGTGGGAGTTTAGGGTAGTGGTGGGGGGAACTGAGTGGGCCAACACCTCACTAAGCCTCTGGAAGGGCTTGGGGCTTCCTAGAGTAAGTAGGCTCACTTCTCCCTATGCCTCCAGAGCTAGGCGGTCCTCATGAGCACAGCAAGTTGAAGGGACGGCAGAGGGCCATGGGTCAAGAGAATGACCTTCTGTCTTTCAGCACTGCTTTAAAGGACACTGCATCTGGCTGACACCTGACATTCTTAAACGAGACGGCAACTGGGGTGCCTGGAGTCCATTCGGTTCTTGTTCACGCACCTGTGGCACAGGTGTTAAGTTCAGGACCCGCCAGTGCGACAACCCACAGTAAGTTGGTCCTGACATGTCCCAGCTCTGCTGGTGACAACTGTGATCCAAGGTCCCTATGGCTGCATGCCAGTTCTGGAGAGGGTGCAAGGGCCTGTAGCCTGTTCTCCTCTTTAGCCTCCTTGGGAGGAAGCTGACGCAGAGAGGGAATCTTCATGGCCCAGGTGGTACAGCCTTCTGGGACCAGTGCTGTCCCTGGAGACCTGAAAACCTGGTCTCCTGACCTGATGGACTAGGGCCATCCCCCCAGGGGTCCTGCACCTTCCTCTAGACACTGGTTTACTTTGCCCTTCTTGGTCAAGGACATCAAGGACATAAAGAAGAACAGAGACAAGGGATGAAGAATAAAGAGGAGGAGGGCTCTCTTGGGCCCCAAAATGCCAGGAATCTGAGCAGGGGGCAGCTCTTTGCAATCAGGCAAGGGGCAGGATCAGCATCATGCTGCCTGAACCCAGCTGCTCAGGAGGGAGGCAGCCTGAAGAGGCTGTCACCATGCCCACCAGACTCCCATCTACAACCATGCTCCCCCTCCTGCTTCCCAGGCATAGGGCCTGATGGTTTGTCCTCTCTATCTGCTTCCCATCCCTTGTCCTTCTCATAACACCTACCCTACCTTATAAATGTCTTTCTGGTGCATGGCCCTTCCTTGACTCATAGCCACTTCCTTATTCATGCCCAGGCAACTTCTCCTGACTGAACCCTTAGCCTGGACCTCCCCTAGGGCACTGCCCATGGAGAAGGAGCATGTGGAGCCAGAGTGCCTGGGCCCTGGGCCCCTACAGTCCCATGTGAGTTGGGGCAGGTCACTGAGCCACTCCTACCCCCAGACCTTAGGCAGTCTGCCCATGGAGTTATTGTGGGTGCATATACAGTAATGTGAACAGGACCTGCTGTGCAGGAAAACATCCCCACAGATGTCAGCTCACTGGCCTTACACCTGCCCATTTGCAGCCCCTTGGCCATCAGGTGATACATGGCTTTTGTCGTTCTTTGGCCTGTCCAGAGTTTTGAAGATTTTTATTTACATGAAAATGTGAAAAATCTGAAATTTCACATAAATAAAACAGATTGATTTCTAGCTTCCAAATTGGGCACCATAGCAATACAGGCTGGCGGACAACTCAGTCTTTTCCCCCAGCCATCTTTATTCACCTCCTTCATCCACCTGAACCTCCTAAATATTTGGGTTGGGTGCCCTAAACCCTAAGCCTCAGTCCCAGGCTCATCACCCTTCTTTGGGTCCTGCCATGGCCTCATCATAAATTGTACATGACTTTCTGTGCATGAGCATTTTTGTCAGGGAGCAGGTCTCTAGATTCACATCAACTTCTCAGAGGAGTCTATGATCTCAAAATTTAAGCCCCACAGGTCTCTGGTACCCATCCAGACTGGCTGGGCTCTACATTTGTGGCAGCTTCCCTCCTCTGCTCAGCCAGACTGCTGCATTTTCTCTGGTTGGGCCCTGAACTAGCCACCAGGGTGCCAGAGGGGCTCAGCAGTAACAGTTCTGGAGAGAGGGGTCAAGTCCACGTTGGCCAGGAAGGGACTGGTGTCCTAGGCTCTAGTAGTGGGAGAGCCTTCACCTCAGAGTCACTTGTGCCTGGGGCTGGCCACCCCAGCTCTTGCTGGAGGCTTCTCCCATTTATGACTACCTCCTGCCCAGGGCTCCAGTCTGCTGTCTTGGCCATGAGCAGAGGCAGGAAGGGGACCCAAAGTGCTTTGCCCCTTGACTCCCATCATGCACCACTGGGATACTTGCCTCGGGATGAGATTGAAAAGACAGTAAGTGAGAACTGCAGAGGCCACAGGATGCTGGGCAAGGACTGTGGGGTTCCCCACTTGTGGTGGGTGCCTAGTATACAGCAAGTACTCAGTAAATGGTATTAGTCTCAGCTGCCCCTTCACATGCTGATTGAAGTAACTTGGGCCCAGGATGCACAATCAGGAGAGCAGATTTGGCCTGACTTTCCCACCCTCCATGCGCACCCAGGCTCTGATTCCTGCCTGATGCTGGGCTCTCGGGCTCCAGCGGACTCACCCCCTGGCCTCGCTCTGGGGGAATTCATGTATTTTTGGAGTGGAGGTACATTTTCTGTCCCTCCTCACCTGCACACTCTAGGGATTTTACCCCTTGGGCTTGCCCAGGCTCCTTTGTGGCTGCAGGGGACAGGGGCAGCAGTGACAGGAGGAAAGCTGTCAGTACAACCTGTGAGCTTATCTGTTCGTGAAAGCCATCAGTCCTTGGAAAATAGCCAAGCCCTGTCCAGTGCCATCATTCCCTGTCAGACAACATGTAGCTATGATGACTTTTTATTTACACTGGCCTCATTCACATCTATGGGAGACAAAAGCAGCTGTAGTGCCCAAAGCATTTCTGAGCTCATGGGCTCCATAATGCCAGCAATGCCAAAGTGGCCCCATGTGCTGCTGCCCCTTTCGTTCATTGATCATGTCATAACTGCTGGACCTCATGCTGCTCATTTTAGTCATTACTCCCTGTGCTAGTCTGCAGCTCTTCTGATGACACTGGGACAAGTGTGAAGACTCCTGAACAGCTCCTAGCTGGACCCTGCTTACATAATTGAGTTCCCACTGTGTTCTTTGCTGCCTACACCCTTGTGATTGCAAAACTGCAAACAATCCATTCTCCATCTCTGCACTTGCTCTTCCCCACTCCAAATTCTCCAGCTCACTCTGTTTTGGAATTAACATGGATTTCAGTTCCAGTCAGTATGCCTCCTGATTGGTCTTGCCAGAGGTCCCAGCAACAACAGACCCTTCCTGCCTCCCCCATGGTTGCTGTACTGCTGCCCCCAGCTCCCCACACCTGCACCCAGGCCTGCATCCCCCTCCACCAGTGACACTCTTGTTGGTATTGTCATTGGTCTATGGTCTTATCAGTGACCATGCTATAAATCTAAGTTGCCCTTTCTTTTAGTCTCCTATCAAACACTGAGGCCTCTTGGTTCTTTTTCCACAAATTTTTCTAATCATTATTCCCACTAACTCCCTGGAGAACACAGTGCCATGGGAGGGGCCTCACAGAATTAGCTCCTTTCTCATCCACTCTAGTGTACTGCACAGCAGTCACCACTTCTTGTTGCACACAGAGCATGACCTGTTCAAGTTTCACATGGGGACTTGGATTCTGTTTGGCTCTCCCACACCTGGCAGATGGCCCCAGCTACTCCCAGGGGCTAGCCTGCCATCACCCCATCCTGTGCCAGTAGATGCACCTGCTGGCCCACAGCCAGTGTCTTTTTTGTGGGGCTAGTGCTCTATGGACTGTTCTCAGTGAAATGAGGGAATTTCAGAAACAGAGCCCAAATACTCTGAGGTGGAGGAAGGTGAGTAGAATGTCCACTGTGTGCACCACACTTAAGAAGGCCTATGGAGTGGGGTTCTGCTATTTCAGAACTGTTCTTTGAGTCTCACTCTGTGTCAGGCACACGCCCAGGGCCTGGTGTAGAGGAGACACCACGGGTCCCAAAGGGAGACTACCAGCCCTCTAGACTTGATGCTCTGGGTCTAGAAGGCTGGGAGACTGTCCTGGTCCTGTGGCCAGGACAGGGAAGGGTTGGGTCCCTTCAGTCAACAGAACTGACCTGACACCTGAGATTCAAGGATCCTCCAATTCTACAAGTAGAGGGCTGTGTGCTGGTGTCTTCCTGGCAGCACTGAGCAGCAAGTCCTTTGCTTTCTCCTCCAGCCCAGCGAATGGGGGCCTCACTTGTTCAGGTCTTGGCTACGATTTCCAGCTCTGCAACTCCCAGGACTGTCCTGACACCCTGGCTGACTTCCGTGAGGAACAGTGCCGGCAGTGGGACCTGTACTTCGAGCATGGCGACTCCCAGCACCACTGGCTGCCCCATGAGCACCGGGATGGTGAGGCTCTGATTGAGGTTCAGGATAGGTCAGGGTGGGTGCTTTCTTGTGCTGTTGAGTCAGTGTGAGCAAGGCTGCCAGCCACAGGACTGCTTACTCCAGGACTGGGGCTGGGCGCTCAAAGCAGGACTGCAGTTCCAGAGGAGCCAGAACACTGGGCCTGGCCAAGGATGCAGATGAGAGGACTAAGAGGCTTAGTGAGTGCCAGGCTCTGCTGCCTCCATCTGGTGGAGAAGGCTGGAGATGTGCTGGTAAGCCCACTCAGGGATGGAGGTGGGGACGGAGCTGGGTGGACCCTGCCAAGGAAATAGGCTACCTATAACTTTCTCATATTTCAGTCAGGACTCAGTCAAGTGTCAGCAAACTTAACTTGAACTGCTTTATGTATTAAAAGGCATTGTATTGGATCCTACGAACTGAAAAGTCTGGTAGCTTCAAGCATAATAGTATTTGTATTCCATTTTGGTTCCCCTCCCTCATGATGGAGTTTTACACATACAGTTTTGTTCCTTCCATGCATTAGGCAGGGGCAGGTTGCCGTCATGGGCCCACCCTCTCCATCATCCTGTGTGTGTTGCACCAGTGGAGCTCCGTGCAGGGAAGCACAGACACAGCCCACCTTGGAGGCATGCTGCAGCCTGGCAGGCAGGGTAGATAGCTATTAAATATGACCCAGTGTTTTAGTGACTTCCTAGAGAAATACTGAGAAGGAAAAATGCCAGGGACCCAGGACTGAATCAAGGGATATCTGTCCTTATTTGGGATTTCAAAGGAAGTTGGCTGAAGAGGGTCTTCAGGTGGAGAGCTGACAAATAGCCAGTTGCCTTCCCCCTAGGTATCAGGGCCTTGGGGACCTGAGACCTGGGCTGTTCCAACAACAGCCTTGCTCATCTTGGAAAAGCTCTTTCCAAGTCCCATACCCCAGGGTCAAAAGCCCTAAAACAGAGACACAAAGCGGGTTACAGTCTCCTGGCCCCTTTCCTTTTCCTGCCCCAGGGCAGGCATGTTGGGGAGGGGAGTAAATCCTGAGAAGACCCTCATGGGAATTTCTCTTGGGAAAAAAAGTGAGCAGAGCAGCCCGTACTTTTCCCTAACACCCTGCTTCTTCTATTCTAGCCAAGGAGAGGTGCCACCTCTACTGTGAGTCCAAGGAAACTGGGGAGGTGGTATCCATGAAGCGCATGGTGCATGATGGGACACGATGCTCCTATAAGGATGCCTTCAGCCTCTGTGTACGAGGGGACTGCAGGGTGAGTGCCCTGATGCCAACATGGGTCTCCGCTTCTGGGGATTTTTGAGAGGACTCATGCAGAGTATTAGAAACAGCACCTAGAGCACGGCAGCCTCTCAGCAAATGTTGGCCTGCCCCTCTTCTGTGCTGGAGGCTGTCAGCCCTGAGTATGCCTCGGAGCAATATGGGGCTCCTCCCGAGAGATTCTAATTTCTAGGTTGTGGCTAGGGCCCAGAAGCATGACTTTTATGAGCTCCCCATATGATTTCAACACATACAGTTCTCAGGTGATCTCTTCAAAGCACTGCCATATCCTGGCACTCCTATGGGCACTAGACAGCTTACTCTTGACCAGGGTGGCCCACCATGGGTGTCGTTGGTTTGGTTCTTTGTAGAAATACTTACTGTCTTTTCTGTTGTTATTATTATGTCTTTGGCTTCAATCTTAGGCTGACACAAGAAACCACTGTGGGGTAACTTCAGCATACATTAGTAACTGAACACAGACTTACCCCCTGCCAGACTCCCTAGAAATAACTGGAAGCCTCCGTAGTATGTATAGATAGGACTGCGTATAGGTGCCATAAAGTCTGACTCTCCTCAACAGAGAGGCTGGTAGAACGCAGGTACTCTTGGAGAAGGGGCAAGGCTGGAAGCACAAGGAAGTAGGGTGGGGGGCAGGTGAGTCGTGCTCAGGGTTTTTCTTCACTCATGTAGGACCACAGCCTGAGGTGAAGGAGGCTCCTCTAGGATGCAGGGACAAGGGTAGGAGGAAGCTGGCTCAGCCTGACTTATGCGGGGAGGCCAGGCCACACAGTCTGCTCAGACAGTGAAACCAAATCCTCAGAGACAAAGACAGCAGTGTTTCCTCTGTACCCGTAGGGCTTTGATTTATGGAAGTGACAGTGAGGACACAGAGAGGCAATGCCATTGAAAGAAGAATTTATTACTTACATTTCCCAAGAGAAGGGCATGCCATGCTTTGCAGGGCCACATGGGGAAGGGCCAGGTTTGGCTGCGATGCAGAGAGGAACAGGAGAATCCTAGGCCAGAGCTTTCATTAATGTTGCTGTGGGAAATGCAAGATAGGACAAGGAAAATAATTTAGCATTGACCAGTTTGAATAACTCTGGCAGGCTTCAGCTATAGGATTAGTCTCTAGTTGCTTTTTGCCTAGCCCTGGGACAATTTTGGACAGGGGAAGTATTGTTCTGATGTTTGAGAGATATAGCTGGTGACTGGGAGATTGGCAGGTTTGCATCTTAAAGCCGTGCTCCCAAACTAGCCCTTTGCCACCTCTAAGAACTAGCTAGTCCTAGGACATCATAAGACACAGAAAAAATTTTAAAACATATGCCTGATACAGGCAGTAAGCATGGGAAACATTCAGTAGAAGAAGAAGCTTTAAATGGCAACTATGAAATGGTTGCAAATATAATGGAAAAGACAGAACACTAATTTACCATCTTAGTGGGAGCAGCTAGCTTCACTCCTAACATTGATGTCTGAAGAAGAGGTTAAGTATTTCATTAATTAATGGTGATTTTTATTTTATTTATTTATTTATTTATTTATTTATTTATTTATTTATTTATTTATTTATTTTTATCCTCACCCGAGGACATTTTTCCATTTTTTATTCAGATATAGCGGGAGGGAGAGAGAGGAAGAGAGAGAGAAACATCAATGTGAAAGAAACACATCGAGTGGCTGCCACCCGCACGACCCAACCAGGGCCAGGGACAAATTGCAACCCAAGTACATGCCCTTAGCGGGAACTGAACCCGGGTCTCTCTGGACCGCAGGCCGATGCTCTAACCGCTGAGCCAAATCGGCCAGGGCAATTAATGGTGATTTTGAATGGTAACAGCAAGCTCATAGGTTTTACACAATTAGAACAAACATGTATTTACATTTATAGATGCTCATATTGCAAGTTAGAAAGCAGAGGAGACAGAAAGATTGAAAACACAAAATACATGGGTAGTATTAGCATGAACTATATGATTCCTAACACTATAGGTGAATGTGAAACTCTTATTGTAAAAGAATCTAATACTGGGTCAAAAAATAATATCCAAATGGATGCTTATGTCAATAAGAGAATATCAAAACACAATGACTCAGGGAAGTTAAAAGTGAAATGACATTAAAAGACAGTTCAAGGGAATGAAAGATGTGTGCACGTATAATATACATACACTGCAGGGAATCAAAAGAGAATCAATTAAACAAGGTTCATAGGGGCATTTTGTTTTGATAAATCCACTACCTTGATAAAGTACTAACATGCTATCATATATGTCACCGACAGACTGCTATGAAAAAGGGAGAAATTAAAATAAGCTGGCATATTTTCTGATATGATGATTCACCAATAAGATTTCCTAACAGATGGGAAGGGAGGAAAGCAGCACCTCTTAGCTCTTTGCCCCCTGCCATGAGATAGGCATCCATCATCACTACCAGCAGCTCCCATCTTGACTTGAACTGAAATGGAATCAAGCTGTCAGCCTCCTCTGGTCACAGCAGCCATGCAGAGCTACTCCTAGACACATGGCCATCCGCAACCTGAGCTATCATTGGCCCCATTAACCCCTTTAGAATCTAAAGTGAGATTTCAGGCTAGCAAAAGGACCCTGTACTTCACAGGCCTCTTGTACTTGGTTAAAGCCTTGGTATCATTTTCTCCCTAATTCATTATAAACCACTGGTTATTAAACAGTGTCTCCAGAAAGGCAGACGCTTCCCAAAGATAGATAGATGTTGCCTGAGCCAGGAATGGTGCCTGCCTGGTCCTGGATATTTGCAGCACCTGAGATGAGCTGCCGCAACAGCCCAGACAAAAATCAGCTGTCAAACACTCCTGTAGGAGGCAGGCAGGGTCTTTCGGACTATGATTATTAGACACACTCTGACTTCAGAAATAGTAAAAGGTGAAAATAAATGTGTCTTAAAATGGAGGAGAAATCATGGCAGGCCATTTTAATATCTCTCAAAGTTTGAAGGATCGAGTAGTTCATTTACTCTGTTTCCTTTTTGTTAATCATCTTTGACTCATGTAACAAAAGCTCAGAGCAACTGTTCTCAAACATACAATGCTGCTTCATTTTCTCTTTGCCCTGATATCCTTCTTCTCATCCAGCCAGTTGAATTTCCAATTAGTGTCTTTCAATGTACACAGGCTGCAATCCTTTTTATTATTATCTTTTTTGTTATTAATTGATTTTTGTTACAGATGTTTCTTCCCCCTCCCCCCAGCAGACACCCTCCCTCTTATCCCACCCCCTTCCCCCAAGCATTGTTGTCTATATCCCTTGGTTATGCATACATGCATATAAGTTTGGTGGTCTATCTCTTTCTTCCCCATCCTCTTCTGAGGTTTGTCAGTCTCTACCCCACATTCATGTCTCCAGGTCCCTCCATGTAGTGTCAAATGATAAGAGATCTTTCTTTCTTACAGCTGCATAGAATTCCATTGTATATATGTACCATAGCTTTTTTATCCACTCATCTACTGATGGACACTTAAGCTGTTTCCAGATTTTAGCGATTGTAAATAGTGCTGCTATGAACATAAAGGTACATATATTCTTTCTGATTTGTGTTTCAGGCTTCGTAGGTTATATTCCTAGAAGTAGGATCACTGAGTCAAATGGCAATTCAATTTTTAACATTTTGAGGAAACATCATACTGTTTTCCATAGTGGCTGCACCAGTCTGCATTCCCACCAGCAGTGTACTAGAGTCCCCTTTTCTCCACACCCTCCCCAGCACTTGTTTAATGATTTGTTGATGTCAACCATTCTGGCAGGTATGACGTGATACCTCATAGTCGTTTTAATTTGCATCTGTCTGATAATTAGTGATGTTGAGCATTTCTTCATGTCTCTTGGCCATTTGTATGTCCTGTTTGGAGAGGTGTCTATTTAGGTCGCTGCCCATTTTTAATTGGGTTGTTTGTCTTCCTTTTGTTGAGTTGTATGAGTACTCTATACACTTTGGAAATTAACCCCTTATCTGATGTATCGTTGGCAATTATGCACTCCCATATAGTGGGTTCCCTTTCCATTTTGATAGTTGTTTCCTTTGCTGTGCAGAAGCATTTTAGTTTGATGTAGTCCCATATATTTTTTTTTTCCTTTGTTTCTATTGTTTTAGGCATTGTATCAGTGAAAATTCTACTGTGTATGATGTCTGAAATTTTGTTGCTTACATTTTCTCCTAGGATTTATATGAATTCATGAGTCACATTTAAGTCTTTTATCCAGTTTGAGTTTATTCTTTTTTTAAAATATTTTTAATCTTTATTGTTGAATGTAAAATGTATTACAGATGTTCCACATTTTTCCCCCATTGACACCCTCCTTACCCCTCCCACCCCTCACCCCCGCCTTTTCCCACACTATTGTCTGTGTCCATTGGTTATGCATATAAGTTCTTTGGTTTATTTCTTCCCATCCCCCACACCCCTTTCCCTTTGAGGTTTGTCAGTCTAGCAATGAATTTGTACTTCTTAATCTCTTCACCTTTTTCACCCATTCCCCCAACCCCCCTCCCAAATGGCAACCAACAAAATGTTCTCTGTATCTAGGAGAATGTTTCTGTTCTACTTGTTCATTTTGTTTGTAGATTCCATTGTTGGTAGATATGTATTCATTGCCATTTTGTTTGTTCATATATTTTATCTTTTTCTTCAAAAAAGACCCTTCATCATTTCATATCATAACGGTTTGGTGGTGATGAACTCCTTTAACTTTTTCTTGTCTGGGAAAGTCTTTATATGTCCATCGATTCTAAATGACAGCTTTGCAGGATAGAGTAATTTTGGTTGTAGGTTCTTGGTTTTCATCACTCTGAATATTTCTTGCCACTCCCTCTGGCCTGCAAAGTTTCTTTTGAGAAATCAGCTGACAGCCTTATGGGAACTCCCTTGTAGGTAACTAGCTGCCTTTCTCTTGCTGCTTTTAAGATTCTTTGTCTTGAACCTTTTGCATTTTGATGATGATGTGTCTTGGT